CCAACCAGCAGCCCCTCGCATCCATCATCCCCAATAGCTGGTTTGGTGTTGGCAGGGTCTTCACGGGCCTAGCAATCAGCACCTGCCACTGGTGGAGTACGCTGCATGCGTTAGTCAATGCAAATGAACAGAAATGCATTGCGGGCGTATTTTGGGGCGAAAGAGGGAGAAATTGGAGGTTTTGCGTATCGGGCTAGGATGCATCGACTATTTGCTGAGCTGGAGCCGTCTATTACCGTTACCGAGCAAAACCTGGCAGACCGAGTTCGGTACATCATGCGCTCAAAAATATTTGATGACGCCGAACTCGAACGGTTACGACGTGAGGCTAATCCTTTGTCGAATGAAAATACTACGATAGGAGATGCGGCTCTACGAGTTACAGAGCAACCCGCACATGTAGATGCCGCCGTAGATTTCCTTGTGGTTGACTCCGGCGACGATGAAATAGTTGTAATTGTATGTAATTGGAAGAGGCGATTAGGGAAATGCGCAGTATGCATCTCGAGAATCGACCGCGACTTCCCCGTATACCCCTAAGCAAGCGGAATCGGGTTGTCATGAGGGCTCTCAACCCAATGCTGGTGACCTATTTGGAAGCCAGCCGGGGCCTTTGCGAGACGGACTCAATTCTTTTTGGCGCCGCACTGGTAGTTTGCCGTATTATTGGCGCCAAACTTCCCACGTTTGGACAAGCTACTAGACAAAGTAGTGCCATCCCAGCCTGGAGAAGAAGGATTGAGGACCGTATCGCAAAGGCAAGGGCCCTCATCGGCAGGCTGATAAGCTTCAGGTCGGGCAATAATAGGCCGAGAATTGTGCGCACCGTCAGGATGGAGTTTGCTGGGACAAACATCAGTTTGTCCCAGCCGGATATTACGCAAAAACTGATGGAGCACATAGACGACCTGAAGCAGAGAATCGCTGCTTGGTCAGAGCCCGTAAACCACAGCGAGGGCCCTTGGACGGAAGTTGTGGCGAGTCAGTGTGCGAATGTTACGCCCTTGGACCCCGTCATCATAACGCTGGATGACGTAGCTGAGGCGGTCCGTAGGGCCCCGAACTGGAAAAGTCCGGGGCTCGACGGACTGCATCACTACTGGCTGAAGGGGTTCGTGGTGTGTCTCGCTGTGCTCGCCCGACAGTTTCAATAGGCTCTCGACCAAAAGTCGCTCCCGAGCCTCTTCACTACTGGGATCACTCATTTGGTTCCTAAAGACCGGGATTCCACAGACCCGAGCAAATACTGCCCCATAACGTGTCTACCTACCATATACAAGACACTAACATCCATTTTGAGCGCGAGAATCACTCGTCACCTGAACTCAAATCAGGTGATGTCGCGCGGTCAAAATGGATGTCGGGGCGGTGGTCGTGGAACCAAGGAACCACTCCTAATTGACGCGGTCATTGGCAAGGTGGTTAAACGCAACCGTCGGAACCTCTCCGCCGCCTGGATAGACTACAAAAAGGTATTCGACTCGGTGCCTCATACATGGCTTAAGAGGTTCCTCGAGCTGCACAAGGTTGACTGTACAGTTAGAGACTTCCTTGGGCAGTGTATGGGGCAGTGGAGTACGATCCTTTGTCATCTAGGCGAGCGGATGATGGCTGCAGAGAACCACATAAGGATAAGAAGGGGTATCTTCCAGGGCGATTGTTTGAGTCCAATCTGGTTCTGCCTCTCTCTGAACCCTCTTAGTACCTAACTGGAGGGTTCCGGGAGGGGATTTCAGCTTCGGAAAGGAAGTACAAAAGTGACCCACCTTTTCTGTATGGATGATCTCAATTTATTCGCCTCCAGTCGCTCTCATCTTATGGAATTGCTAAGCATCACTTGTGATTTTAGTAATTCTATTAGAATGGAGCTGAGGACGGATAAGTGTGCGGTCCTCCATGTCGAAAGGGGTAGGGTTGCTAACTCTGAGGGCATAGACTTATCTATGCCCATCAACATAAAGACTCTATCCGAGGCTCAAACATACCGATACCTGGGTATGTTACAGAACATAGGTATCAATGAGGTGGACATGAAACAGTCAGTTTGCGCTGTGTTTTAATCTCGCTTGACAAAAGTACTTAACAGTCTTTTGTCACATTGGTATGTTAACATAACAATGTGATTCTGCAATGGATAAAGGGATACTGTGGGTCCAGAGGAAACGATGCAGCAGACGAACTGGCCAGAAGAGGATCGGCTCTGGCCACTATATGGCCATAACCAATCATACCAATCCCCTTTGATAACGTTCGTTCACTGGTACGTAGACACTTCACTAATCAACACGCTTAACTTTGGAAAAATCTAGTAGACTGTAGACAAGCTAGGGAGGCCCTGCCTGAAATAAGCAGTCGTTTAACCAAGGTTCAGTCTTCGCAAATCAGGATAGTAACTTGTGCCGGAATTCCGGCACTACACGGTATGGCACCGGAAGTCGCTGCATACAGGGCTAAACATCGGTTTATGCAAATGTACTCTGTGGTAAACATCTCGGCACGCCGGGATTACTCCCCGAAGTTGCTTGTAACATTAGAGGGCTGTTGAACTTCTTCGGGGAGATCTCATGGCTCGAATAAATACATTATTCATGCCCACACGCAAAATACGCGCTTAGACGTGAAGTTGCGAAAAACAGCCCGTCGTTAACTAACTAACTATTTAGCATATTTTTCAATCGACTTTAATTATAACCACGGGATGTATCAAGCAGATCCCTATAAAATGGATCATCCGCTCTCGTCAGAAAGTAATTACGGAAGCTGCACACTTCGCGATTATGCATGGTAAGAGCGCTTAAAAAGCCGCGTTCACCATGCTTCCGCGGTGGTACAGTACAAGTACAGCCTCTTTACCGATTACCTTGGATGATGCATCCTGTGGGACGTTATTTCTTGTGATAAAGGACTTACCACTCTATCCTTAGCCAACGTGAAATGGCAAGACCCGGCAGAACAGAGCATTTCCGACCGGGAAACCGTATGGAAGGAGAAGGAGCTCCACGGGAGGTTCTACAAGGTTCTACATGAGCCTTGCGTAGACACAGCCGCCTCCCTCCACTGGCTACGTTTCGGTGACCTCTTTGGGGAAACCGAGGGTTTTGTCTGTGCGATACAGGATCAGGTTATTAAGACCAACAATTATCGGAAATACATCCTAAAAGATGGTGCCGTCGACATCTGTCGAGCTTGTCGCCATCCCGGTGAGTCACTTAGGCATGTCATCTCCAGTTGTTCGACGCTTTCTAACTCTGGGTACTTGCACAGACACAACCTATTAGTCAGGATTCTACACCAGGAGCTCGCTCTGAAATACGGTCTCATGGATCGGAAACTGCCATATTATAATTACTATAATTACTAATCTACTGGGACCGGGTCATCATCACAGACAGGACTATTCTTGCGAATAAGCCTGATATTATGCTGATGGACCGGGCACAGTCAAGGATATTTTAGGTCGACATTACCATTCCTTATGACGAGAACCTCGTGAAAGCCGAAACATATAAGCTGACAAAATATCTGGAGCTGGCTCACGAGGTGAGCCGACATGTGGGGTGGTCTGCCGGCCGAAATTATTCCTGTGGTTGTTTCTGCGAACGGGTTAATCCCAGTCAGCCTCTCGGGTCATCTGAGGCGACTGGGACTCCGTGACGGATCGCTCCAAGCTCAAATGCAGAAGGCGGTGCTCCTTGATACTGCCCGCATCGTACGCCGGTTTCTTTCCCTTTCCCCCTAACCCTCGGCCGTTTGGTCTCCCCTGCCGAGGGCTTCCACCTGGTTGAGTTTTTATATATTTTTTATTTTATTTTATTGATATTTATATAAGTTTATCGTTTTTATTTTCAATTATATATTTATACAGTCCAACCAGATGAGAAAACTATACAAATACTCCATAAATAAATGACTATACAGCCGAGGGAGAAAATCAGAAGAAAAATAATATACACCCGTCTGGGGTGGATAGATGAAGACGCGTTTCCACCCTAGGGTGGATTTTTTAGGGTGGATAAGCGGAATTACAGTCTCGCTGCAGCCATATAATGGTTGCAGCATTATTAGGTCGCTCGACCGAGTAAGGACTACGCGCATACAGAACACCAGCATAAAACAACTTTTTAACGCCGGTGTGTTTTGTATAGTCAATGTAGAGAACCGTAGACTCCTTTACAACAACAAGGCATTCCAGCTTAGTCTTTAGGGGTGACAAAGCATTTTAATTCATAATAGAGGATAGATGTATGTAGGATAGGTGTATCCACATGATGGGCCGAAGCATTCACTTACCATCAGGTGGACTGTGTACTCGTTTGTCACCTTTATTGTATAAAATTGAAAATATTTCATATTATAGAAGAAGCCCATATCCACCTGCAGACTGGGTACGGGCTATTGAAGATACAAGTTAACAAATTTATCGTGTTATAATGACTCGTATTATGTCTGTGAAAACAAATTAATTTCAAAAGTTAATTGTTGTGATAATTTTTAATTGAGAGTATTAATACAACATAAGTTTATTACATATATAGTTTAACTTTCGAATGTTTTCTCCAGCTAAGTTTGTTTTTATTTTTAATATGCAATTTAAAACGGATAGTCGCAGCTATATCGTCCATTTTGTCACGGAGCTCGTAAATCTTGCAAAATAATTAAAATAATAGCAAATTCCTTTTTATGAAAACGCAGTAATTAGTTCTTTATTTTTTAGTTAAATTACTATTTTGTTTCCCAAGACATATTCAGTACCCCTTATTCGAAATTTGTCTACCAGACAAAAATCGCACAGCGAGTTTTTGTATAATATTGTATTTTGTTAAAATATGTGTATATTTTTACCATATAAAATACAAAAAGAACAAATTATTGTAAGTATAGTATATTCTGAACAAAGTTAAAAATCAAAGTAACATTATAAAGTAGAAGTATAAAGCAATAATTCTATAATTGAAAAAAAAAACCAGTGGTTATTTAAAGGTGTGTGTATTTTTTTAAGTTCACTCCAGTGTTCGTGACTTTCCGATGAAGGTCTTAAGCCTATAGTCGCAGGTATCAGGTGTAAGTTTGCGTATACAGGCACAATTCCTTTTTCTTTGCCTTTGTACATGAATGTCACGGTAAGATATCCGGTGTGATACATGAGCCAGGTCACTAAGTCTGAAGCGACCACTATCCATTTGAAATAAACCCATCCGCACACCGCGTTTGAGTGCTCTGTGAATATAAATAAGAATTATTAAGGACGTAACTTTTAATAAAAATCTAAGGGTTTCTTACTGGATTTACAGCTACGTATTAATTTATTTTATACATTCTTTTGATATAAAATTCTATAAAAATACCTGGAAATTTTACTGCTTATCCTTGGATCGGACAGTTTATATTCCAATTTAATAAATTTAATTATAGTACGGGATGTCCAGCCTGTGTTCTTCGTCAATTTTTTTAGAGCCGATAAAACTATTTCCCCTGTCTTAGGTTTTGGTTTGGTTTTTGGCATTGTTAACACAATAAGTTTTAAGTGTTTCGTTGACAAGGAAAAATAAATGAAAGGAAGGCAATGACGTATGTCGAGTTTTAAACTGACTAAAGTGTTCTAAAATCTATCATAAAATAATAAGTTAATTTATTGTCTTTCCATTCCACAAAAAAGGTTAATTATAATTTCCAAAATGCATAATATTTATTGAAAATACTTTTACGGATTTTATCGCGTTTAATATATTTTTTATTTCCCGAAGTTTTGGGCGGTTACGGGAGGGAGGGGGGAGGGATGGCACTGAGGTGTTTGAGGTCCCGATGTTATAGTTAGCCCGGCTATCTTCAGTTTTTGAATATTAATATATAATGCCTAACATTGTTATGCAGGTACTATTCAATCGTCCAACCATCCAGCTCCAAACGTGAATCCAAATTTTTATGAACCATAACCCGAGTACTGTCCAAGGTAAATTCTTATTACATTTAAACGTTGAAATGAATAGAGACACAAAATCAAGAGATTTGTGACAGAGGAACGGTTGTTATTGGCATACTTGGTAGAACCATCTAACGCACCGAGTACAAATCGAGCATTTTAGGTTTAATTATTATTTACCATTTGGCTATCGTACGTCATAGGCCTTGTTTAATCTTGTGTAAAGTGATGATTAAACTTTGCAGAATACGTTCCCGTGACGAACTAAACATTTTTAAGTATAGTCCTATATTAGGGAATTATTATATTAGTAAGCTCTATGATACGAAATCATTAATAAAGAAGGTCTCTAAAATGCATAATCATTATAATGACAGAGTTGTGGCTTGAAGTCTTATAGATAAAAGACATATATTTCATAGATAATAGTAAGGTCTATGGAATTGAGTAAATATGTGAAAGGTCACAAATATGTAAAAGCATCATAAGTTATAGTATAGTTATAGTGCCGTGTAGACTGCTTCACAGTGTCCGAGACCGAGGTAAACTTAGACTCGCTAATCGATATATCCTAGGCATATCATCTTGCTGCCGGTGGTAAGCGGGTTTGTGGCAATACGACTTGCCCGTGAACATTACACACCCCCACCCGCTTGTGGGCGACTTCTTAGCGCATAGCGTTATGATACATCATATATCTAGAGTCCAAGGGGGAGGCATTGGCCGTTAGTTTGGACATTGCGAAGGCCTTCGATCGGGTTTGGCACAAAGCGCTTCTTTCGAAGCTCCCTTCCTATGGGCTTCCCGAGAAATTATGCAATTGGATCACCAGCTTTCTTGCAGATCGGAGCATCAAGGTCGTTGTAGACGGTGCATGCTCCGACTACAAGCCTATTAACGCTGGTGTTCCATAAGGCTGCGTGCTATCACCAACGCTGTTTCTTCTGCATATCAATGATATGTTGCAAGCCGGTAGCATTCATTGCTATGCGGATGACAGCACTGGTGATGCTCTATACACCGGCCGTGCCAATATTTCTCGGGAAAACGTCACCGAGTACCGGAACAAACTTGTGTCTGAAGTCGAGTCTTTGCTGGACAAAGTCTCGGATTGGGGGCGACTAAATCTAGTCCAGTTTAATCCTCAGAAGATACAAGTTTGCGCGTTTACCGCTAAAAAGAACCACTTTGTCGTATCTCCTCAGTTTCTAGGTACTCCCCTTGTTGCCTCAGCCAGTATCGGAATCCTCGGCGTCGACATATCGAGTAACGTGCAGTTTCGTGGTCACTTGGAAGAGAAGGCCAAATTGGCCTCTAAAAAGCTTGGCGTGCTCAGCAGAGCGGGACAGTATTTCATGCCGGCTCAGCGCCTGCAACTTTACAAGGCGCAGGTTCGGCCTCACATGGAATACTGTTCCCATCTCTGGGCTGGGGCTCCCCAGTGCCAGCTCCTTCCACTTGACTGCATCCAGCACAGAGCTGCTCGAATCGTCGACGACCGAGTCCTTTCTGATCGGCTCGACTCATTGGCACTGCGAAGAGATGTTGCATCTCTTTGCATTTTCTTTCGCATCTACTATGGGGAGTGCTCTGAGGAATTATTCGGATTAATCCCAGCCGCCAAATTTCACGGACGCACATCGTGGCAGAACTCCCGATACCATCCACACCATCTGGATGATTGGCGGTCCACCACTGTGCGATTTAGAAGATGTTTTCTTCCTCGCACAACTTCCTTGTGGAATAGTTTACCACCAGCGATTTTTCCGGACCGATACGACTTAGGGACCTTCAAGAAAAGAGCCTACTCCTTTTTAAAAGGCCGGCAACGCATCTGCAATTCCGCTGGTGTTGCGGTTGTTCTTGGGCGGCGGTAGTCACTTACCATCAGGTGAGCCGCATGCTTGTTTGCCCCCTCTCCTATAAAAAAAAAATCTTTCGGATTAGGGAGAGTGTGTTTGGTAGTACTTTTAAGTGCAGCAAGCATACTCAACACCATGTATTAGTGCGATAGTTCTATGATACGTGGATTTTTGTTTACTGGCGTCTTACTAGCGTGCTAATATGATACGTTGGTACTATTTTTAATGTAACAACAGTACCAATTTTGTTGCCAAAGTCGATAGGGATCATTTGGGTGTGCTGTGAGGAGGCGCTATCTGTATGATAGTTGCATAGATGCTTACTGCTACATGCGTGGGACGTACATTCACTGTGGCTGGATTTTTTTTTATTTTCCACCAGAGATTACACCATCCCTAATGTCCGTTTATTAACTAATGTTACACATTTTTTTAAATATAGTTTTGTTGACAAATTCAGGCTTTTTCTACAGAGACCGGTAATTACAAACAGCACTGCGATTTGATACTGCGGTGTTGGTTTGACCGTACGAGTATGTAGTTATAAATTTACGAGTTTCTGCACTATTTTCAAATTGTCTTATTATATACACTGTATATACTACTATGAAAAATTAAACGTTTTAGGATTATTAAGGAAATTTTGCTAATATAAAATCATCAAAACAAAAGAAAACTCTCAATTAGTGACATTTTGTCTGGATACTAGTTAATATAAAGTAATGAAATTACTAACAAAATCAAACTTGAATTGTAATACGATTAGGTACCATAAAATTAAAAGTTTTATCTATATTATGCCTAAGTTATATCTAGGTATTATTCAATTTTTTTAAGTCTATTTACAATTGTTTTAACGAATTTAACAAAGGAATTCAGGGTTGATTCTTTATTAATGAGTTCAGCTATTTTAAAGCGAGACACAACAGAAATGCTAGAGATAACTCATGATCATTTCTTGCGGCACTAAACGCGGGACATCGTTCGACTAGATGTTCGACTAGATATTATTGAATAATAGTTCAATAGCTGAATAATCCCAAGTGCATTTGTCATCTGCGGTGATTTTAAATTTGAACAAATAACTTTTATGGTATCCATGGCCGATGAGAACCTCAGTTAAGTGGAAACTCATATTGGTAGCCGCTCTAAGTCTCTGGTATATTTAACTGTTTCAGAACTCTTATACCTGATTTGCCAAAGAGTGTGCGTGTCAATTTTGATGGTGTATTTTATGTAAGATGTAGGTGTTGTGAAGTAGTCAGGTGTCTTGAGGGCTTTTATTCCTACTTTAGCCGCCTTGTCTGCCGCCTCATTGCCAGCTATGACTGCCAGTATGGCTCTTGACCCGGGCAAAGTAGATGGGGTAAAACATTTGTGTCGATAAAGAGTGTGGTTTATCTTGTTGACTATAGGTGTGTATTGGATCTGTCTTGTAAATGAAAAGCTGAAAGAGAGTCCGTGTAAATTACTGTATGCATGTACCATTTATCAGCTGCCCATTCACAAGCCTTAAGGATTGCAAACGGTTTGGCCTGGAATACAGTGCATGTTGAGTGGAGTTAATATTTCTTACTTAGACAAGAGCAGCGTCAACTGCTCCATCTTCCAATTTGCTGCCAACTGTGAACATTTTTGGTGTCTCAAGTCCAACAAGAGCATCGACTTCCGCCTGTGTAGTGGTAAGTTTAGGATTGATTTCAATTTTCTCTGCTGGGTGTAGTAATTTGTGTATGGGTGTGGGTTTCCCTAGAGGAAGATCGCTGGGTATGAAACAAGAAGTGCCTTTAAGTTTGGAACTTTCAATATTGTGGACTTGTATTACCTTAAGATCTAGGGGTATCAGATCACCGAGAGTTATAGCCGCAGACGTAGATACTGTGCGGAAGGGGTTATTACTTTAATGTCAAAACCATGCTGTATACCCTTGAGGCTCCTTCTGATGCACTTTTTAAAGGTTACATGTCCCCATACACCAGCAGAATAAGTTAGTTCAATTTCCTGCTGGTATTTGGTGCGGATATTCTCAGGATGAGACCCCTCAAGTAGGCCGCGTATAGGTGCATAATACATGACGGCCAAACAAAAGCTTCTCGTCTAAGATGACCCCCAGATATTTGATTTCCGATGAACCACCGAGATCACATCCGCTCATAGTGATGCTGGCAGCTTTGGCCTAAGGAGTGAAAGTGATCTGTTTTCGAGGGACTGAAATTCAGTTTTACGCTAGTTCTCCACTCGACTGTGGGGAGAGCATGGTTGGTAACATTCTGCAAACTGCCAACACTCCCAGCCATGACTACCAGCATCACATCGTCCGCAAATACCTCTATGTGGCTGCCCACTGGAAGCTCCATGTCACAGAGCTCGTCTAGAATAATATTCCACATTACTGGACCGCATGTGGAGCCCTGAATGCAGCCTTTGGACATTACCTTTGAGGCACGCACCCCCGTGTAGTCAAGTATCACCTCACGATCTCGAACATAATTGCCTATGAACCTCATATGCCGCAGTAGGTGGAAGAGCGCCGGCCACCAGGCGTTGTCAAAAGCTGTTCTGATGTCTAGTGAGACAGCCAGAGCTAATTTCTTATTCACTTTGGTCTGTGTTCATGTTAAGGGCAGTGTTGTTAGCCTCTGTAGTATTTTTATGTTTAGTAAAGCCAAACTGTTTATTGCTGATTTTATTATTGATTGCAGCCCATTGTGTTACTCGTTT